CGAAGTGGAATATATTTTAGTAACACCAAAATATAATCAAGTCTAAAAAGCTCATCACAAATAGTTCAGTCACTAATTTTAAAGTCTGAATAAGTTACTTTAAGTTATACTTTTATTTTAGCTGAAGTAGTGAAGTAATTTAATTTTAATATTTTTCTAATTAGTAATATTTTTTAGTATTATTTTATATAAATGATCAAAAATAATGAATTATTAGAATATTATCATTTTTATAAAGATATATATTATTTAATAGAATGAAGAGAAACATCAGATTTACTAGCTATTTTAATGGTATTACAGTATTTTTTGTACTAAAAATACTTAATAACTTTACAGTTTGATTTATAGTGCTACATATCATTTGTGAGCAATAAATAAGATAATTTAGTAAATATTTTGATGATCAAGTAAATTAAAAATATAATACATTATCTTATTATCATCAGTGAATCGCGCCAATTTTGGCAGAGACCTACACTGCATAAAATATGCATGAAAGTGTCATCGCCATTACTTTCTGCCAGAACTGTACTAATTGTTTTTATAATTGTTAATTTTGTGGCTATTAGTAAGAATTAATTAATTTAAATGACTTTTTTCAAGTGATTCTATAATTATGTTAGCCGCTGTATTGTTCATTAAATTTATAGGAAAATATCAAAAGACTGTAATGAACAAAATTGTTATAAATTCTGCAGATTTCTTTAAATTATTATAAATGATTATAAATAAAATTAAATAAATAATAAGCACAATATTATTATTTTATTTTGAAATTATATTCACGGTAATTTTCACAATACAAAGAATTTCAAATAATTGAGCACCTGAACATAGTCACCTGCAAAAATTATGATAGATTGTGATTGATAAATTATTCGTAAAGTTATTTTATAAAAAGAGAAATTTTAATATACTTTATACTGAGTTTGTTCTTGAAAATCATTCTTTTAAGAAATTGTCCTTATAGAGAGGTGCGAATGTGCTTCACTGATTACGCAGCAGCGATAAGCATGTGATTTCTGAGGGGTTTTATGCTTTGCGTGATCGTATGTCGAAATAAAATCAAGATTTACGTCATTGTCTCTGTAAATAGAAACTTATTCGCATGTAGTTTAGAAATTATAATACATGTATACATGTAAATATATTAATTACGAGATTTAGGTATTTGGAGATTAAATGCAATATATCATGTTTCAAAATTTTTAATTGATTGATCGTAAGCTTAAAAAAACGCATTTAAAAGGATTCAGAACAGTCAGAACAGACACGACAGGACAGAAATTTTATTAACATAAAGAAAAAAAAGTTCGAATGTTTAAAATGAAAATTCTATACAATTTTTTGTTACGAAATTTACAATTATTCAAGTTTATGTTATCGATCTATCTACATATCGGCATACCTATCTATCTATCTTTATGTAGAATGAGATGAACTGTTTTGCCCGTTAGTTAATGAAGCCAATTGCGATTCGAGTTCTTTAACACGATTTTTTAGAAAATTATTTTCTTTTTTACAGCATTCACAAAAATTCGGTGATGATAAAGACGAAGTTGGTAAATTGTATTGTTGTTTTTTCGAAAGGTTCGATGAGATTGTAGTCTCTTTGATATAATTCGATGATCCAAGTTGATTAATAAAATCGTAATTCGTCGAAAAATCAGAAGGGGTCGTGAAAGGGATTTGCGTTTGGTTATAATTATTTAATGGATTGATTTCTGACTGGAAAGTATTTGCAAAATAAGATGATTCGTAAGTTAAATCGCTTTCTAATGGAGGTGATGTGTATAACGTATTTGTATAAGTTGGCATGTTGAAAGCAGGAGAGTAGTTATAAATCGGCGAAATTTGATAATCCAATAATGATTGTTCGCTTGACGATGATGGAGGAATAGTCATTACACAATCTGTTACTTCGGATAGAGGAGAACTTTGTACTGATTGCAATGGACTTGCGGAAGTTTCTACTCGAGCAAACTGATTACTAATATTGCTGTTATTCAAATTGTGTGACTGAAGCTGCAAATTTCTCTCTAGATCGAATCTCCCGGGTACATTCGTACGAACAAGATGTTTATATAAATTTTTAGCCTCTAATGCGATTCTTTGATACTCTTTTCGTACTTCTTCCGGTTCATTTAGCCAATTTTGTTTTGCCAGTGATGAAAGTTGCGGTTGAGTAATAACTGGGTGTTTCATCGAACGAAGCTCCTTACAAAAGGCTACACGATAAGCTATAAAGGCATTTGGAATCCTTGATGTTTGTCCAAGCCTCTTGTATCTCAGAATTGCTTTCTGTATCAGTGTCTTTGGTGTTATCTCCGGAGGAAATTTTAGAGAGATGCGTGGAAAATCAATGTTAGTTTTTTGATTGCTGGTTGCTGGTGGTGTTTTCATTTTAAGATAGCTTTTTAAAGAGGACTAAAAGTTTGTTGAAAGCTGAGAAGTTTAGAAAACGGATACTTGTGAAAAAGTTGCGGCTTACTCCTTTTATACCTTCGATAAGAATTTTTTCTTGAGAATCGAATTATAATTTATGCTCGTCTTTGTTAGTGATTTAGATTAAGAACACATAATATTGTTAATGTTTACTTTCAAGACCAAATTGAGGTTAAAAATTGAACGAATATATTAATGGCATAATGCTTAATTATTAATTTTTCTGCGGATTGATTTACGCGGAAAACAAAGATGCGTTATATTTTTTAGGAGTGCTTAATCCCCCTTAAGGAGAAATGAATCCGAGTTGAAATTCAAATGTTTTTTACTGTTGTAATAACATACAATATCTCTAATAACAATGAGAGATTTAGAAAACCAACAACTTGTTTGAGCCTACAAGATGAACACAATTGAGTTCCATTCCACTAATATAATATTAATTATATAACAATGTATATTAGTCTTGATATTTTTCTTAGTTTGACGTCATTTAAAAGTTACAATTCTTGTTCTTGGATGGCTAAGTGAAACAAAAATTCATTGAAAGCGAGAAATGAATTGAGTCGCTATTAAGTTTTATTTTTGAAATAATAAATATTGCTATGTTTTTCTATAGTAAAAACCAATTATAAACATGGAATGCAATTTGTAATTAAAAAATTACATAATTAAAGAATCTATTTATAACTTAAATAGTATAATTATTTTATTATACATGTACACGTACTTTTAATATTAGAAATCAGTTCAATACGCGATATATTCAAGTATATAATCGACACGCGGGAAAAACAAATCTGCACAAGTTTTCTAAAACTGTATTCCTTAAAATAGTTGAATTACATGGGATGACATACAAATCGGTATCGGTATGCATGCGCATGTATAATGATGATTTATGAAACAACGATGAAACGACAATGATCGAATATTTATGGAACAACAGTTCAAATAATGAAACGCAGCCAAGAATTGATTCGGCGCGATTTATTTTAAACAAAGAAAAAAATAAAGTTTGTCGGCGAGCGGGAGGTTCTAGCGTCGAGGTTATTATTATAACAATTCCCGTTGATTGTCTTTTTTGTGTCCAAGGGATAAATTCAAATTCGTTTTACGAACATTAAAATTTGCCTTCGTTGGATGACACCATACAATTAGCCAGAAAAAAGATAATTGTTTGGTAAGTTGATTGTATTTACCACGCCGCGAACGAAACATTCTGAAAATGAATCTTTCATTTGAAATTCATGAGAAAATAATTTTTATGCATACTTAATTCAAGTTGATTGTTATTTTGAACAATCCATCGTTATCAAGAATATCCTGGATAGAAGATACATGTTGTTATGAGAAATATGATAAATATTACAGGAAAAAATTATATGCGAAGAAAATACTCTTTATAAATATTTATATCATTGCACGTACATAGATATTTAATTTAATATTTAAATGAATTGATATAAATTTCTCGTTCAGCGAAAAAAGTCTCGCATACAAAGACAACAACAAATATTGAAGAAAGTACACTCATATATTTATAATTAAAACTATGACTTATTACGGCTAATAGAAATCCACTATACATATATTGAGAATTAATTTGACAAATAGAGTTATTTTCCGCGAATTGTTGTAAATCCTTATGTTCTTATGACTTATCACTATGCCCTGTTTAAATAATAAACAAAGTAAACTTTTTTCGAATTCTGAACCATGACATCATAGTCCTTGAAAATCTATCGAGCCAATCAAATAAGAAATCCTTAATTAAGCTTAGAATAGTTGTAAAATTAACAAAACAAATTTGAAGTATTTCATCTTGATTGCGTGCAATCGCAATAATGCTTCACGCCAGTTGAATTTAAAAGCAAAAACCAATAAAGCTAATGAATAGATATGCGCGAGAACATTATCTACAGTAATTCAATCTCGCATATGCGCAGGAAAAATTATTTACAGTAACTCAATCCCGTATGTGACATTTATAATTCGCTAAATAATGTCTATTTTAACTAAAGCTATAAATATACGTGTTTTTGCTTTTTAAACTACTGTGCTCAAGTCTAAGAAAGATGTAAATAATATTTTACTGAGGGATGCACTAATAAATTCAAGGTTTGTTAATTTCATAATACACTGAATTCAGCTTTCAATAAAGCACATTGATGACCCGATGAAAATATAAAAAACGCGCCAATTTATTAAAACAATCTATATGGAAAATTTTCTATGAGTGTACGCAAAGTTAGGCTCGGAACTGTGTGAAAATTTCGCGTTCTGACCACTGCGATTAAATTAGTTATCCTCGCATGCTTGATCTCATTATTTACTGTATATGTAAACATTAGCCTGAAGATCACAATAAATAATTTACATAGCGACAGTTTATCCGAAAGTATTTTTGCCAACGTGGTCGTTGTAATGTTGCGTACTTCTGGGAATTAATGGATTTAAAGGACAAGTGCAGCATAGGTAAGGATAAGCGCAAGACTGAATAATTTACAAGTAAATGGTTTCTTTATTGTTCTAAAGGTCTCCTGTGGTGATTTGTAGATGTTAATTTTTAGTCTTGAATGGGAGCGTGAAGGTTTCTGCAGCAAGAGAGTCTTCACTAGACTGCAAGAGGTTTCGAGATGGTTTCTGATCACCTACAACAAAGTAAAGTGTTCTACAAAGGTTACTTCGAAAGCAACAATACAGATGGTTTCAGCTAACCAGGAACTATAATACACAAAATCAAAGGTTGGACTTAGTTTCTGTCAACAAAATCAGAGTCGAATTATGGATTATTTCGAGTGAAGGTCATTCACTACTTGTAAGCAAGATTTGAAGTTAATCAAATGTAGCTTATTCACGAGTAAGGAATATTTACAGGTAAGACTTTCTATTTCTATTTATATGATTAAAGCATAACGTTCAAAGACTAACATTTCGCCTTTTTATACAAATTGTTTATTTTCATTATTACTAATTCTATTTTTACGCTATTCTACTCTACATTCCCTATGAGATATGTCACCAGAATTTTATCGGAATTGATAATTAATACTTGGATACTTAATACCTGGAACCTGTTTCAGAATTGATATGACTGTGATTTTAGACTTTTAGATATTTTTTTGAAAGTGGGAATTATTACGGAACCGATACCAAATACGGAATTTTTCGGAATTTTAAGACTGATATTTTACGGAACCAGTAAATTTTCGGAATGCGAACTGAAATTTATACTTAATACGGAATCAATTCGCAATGCAATACGGAATTTTCACGCAATTTTTATAGAACTAAGACCAATGCTGAACATAATCATAATGCAAAAGGAGTTTTTACAGAACCTATTACGGATATACACTCCTGTCTCATAAGTCACCGACCACCCGCTAAATTTTTATTAAATCTCGAATAACTCCATGAAAAAGCATCCAATTGCAATTAATTTTAAATTGACGTTAGCAGACATTTTAATACCAATACATACAAAATTTCGATATAATTTTACTATAATAATTACAATATTACCTAGAACACATTTAAATGCAACCGAATTCATTAAACATCGAGTTTCGTTATTTGAATATTTAAAAACTAAAATTTTTCACAACACCCTGCAAATATATATTTGTTTGAAAGTGTGTGAAGCCTTTATCAAATTTCCAAATTTCAGAAAAAAAATCTGATCTCGTTGTTGAGGAATTAATTTTTACATTTATTATACAAAAATGTAACAAATTTTTAATAAAAAAGGCATTCAGGATGGCATTAAGTAAAGAATTGTTAAAATATTTATTAATACTTGGTTGTATATCCATTTGCCTTTAAAACTGCTTTTATCCTATTGTTCATAATAAGAATTAAATTTTGATATATGTTATCCGGGATTTTTTCCCACTCATCATGAAGAAATACTATCAATTCTCTTTCATTTTTTGGCGATGGTTCTTGTTTTCGAATATGACGTTCAAGTTCACCCCCAAAGATGTTCAATAGGATTGAGATCTGGACTTTGTCCAGTCCATTTTATTACTATTATTCCTGAAATTTCAAAGAAACTCATTGTTGCTTTACTATTATGAATTAGAGCATTGTCTCGTTGAAATTCATACTCGTCTTCTTCTTCAAATCTCTCCATAAATGGTACTAGATGAATTTCCAGAACTTCTTCAATATATCTTTGACTATTTATAACTTCTTCAAGAGATTCAAATAATTCTAGATAAGCAATTTCACATTATATACCATCTGGACTAACATCACAATCATGCAGGCCTGGATATTATATGCCAAACAACTATATAAATAATACAAGAGCAACTTACAGATCTAATAAAAAACAGATCATTCAAATCACTAAAGTAATATAATATAGGGAAAAATTACTTGAAACTAATCATTACTATGCTTGACAGTTGGAATAATACAATCAATATTATATCTTTCCTTCTGCTACCTTCAAATACAAGTTCTACCATTATTTCTAAACAAAATAAAATGAGATTTATCATTTTATATTACTTTCTTTCACTTCTCTTCATTTTACATCTTGTTGTTTTGATACTACTATAATCAATCCAGCCAGTTCTTTAATAATATCAAGAATTTTCTGATAGTCACTTGACTATTATGCAATTTCTTTATCAATCTCTTTAATTAATTATTCTATTTCAAATTTTGAATTTCTTTTAAAATTTATATGTATTATTAATATTAAAGTATTAATAATAAAGAATATATAATAATAATTATTATTTTCAAGTTGATAATCTACATTTTCTTTATTTAATTTGTCAAGTTTTTTATTAGAAAATTCATCAATATCTGAAAGTTATCATAGTTTAACCAAAGTTGCAACTTGAGAATTTGAGAATTTGTTGTAGAAAGATCTTTAGATATTCCAGTGACATGTAGAATTAGCTTTCTTTTTAATATAATTTCGTTTATAATATGCTATA